GCCCCTTTCCAGGTGGCATCGTACTTCGGGCACACCGTGGCCGTGGCTGATGTCAACGGGGACGGGTGAGAGCCGGGGGCTACCTTACACCCCCATCCCTCCTGGGGGCACCTTAGGGTGCTGCCCCTTGCCTGGGGCACCCCTGGGTGCCCCCGCTCCCCAAATCCGGGGTCCCTGACCCCCACGTTGGGTGCAGGCAGGACGATGTGCTGGTGGGTGCCCCCCTGTACATGGCCCGGCACCCCGACGGGCAGCGCAGCGAGCTGGGGCGCCTCTACCTCTACCTGGGGGGGGGGCACCAGCCCCTCACCCGACCCCCCCAGACCCTGACGGGCACCCACCCCTACGGCCGCTTCGCCGCCGCCATCGCCAGCCTCGGGGACCTGGACAAGGACGGATACGGGGGTAACCCCAGCCTGGCACGGGGGGTGGCAGGAGGGGGGGATGTGCCACCCCCTCCTCAGCGCTGGGTCCAAACTATGGGGGAAACTGAGGCAGGACCCCCCCGGGGAGGGCGGGGGTGAGGGGATGGGGCACCCGGTGGGCGCTCACTGTGTCCCCCGTGTCCCCAGACGTGGCGGTGGGTGCCCCGTCGGGGGGTGACGGTGGCAGCGGGCAGGTCTTCATCTTCCGCGGGCAGAGCGAGGGCCTGATGGCGATGCCCACCCAGCGCCTGCACAGCCCCTTCCCCGGCCCCGCCGCCTTTGGCTTCGCCCTACGCGGGGCCACCGACCTGGATGGCAACGGCTACCCAGGTAGGGCCACCCCGTGCCACCCCCGTGCCACCCCTGTGCCACCCACCCTGTCACCGACCCCCTGTTTGTCCCCGCAGACCTGCTGGTGGGGGCTTACGGGGCAGACGCGGTGGCCGTGTACCGGTGAGTGCCCGTCCCGCTGGCTCCGGTGGCAGCGTGGCCCTGGGGGGGAAGGCGGGGGTGTCCCTGCCCGGGTCCCCTGGCACCTCATCTGTGTCCCCGTGTGCCAGGGGACAGCCCGTGGTGGTGGCCCGGACCCGGCTGAGCGTCCCTGATGGGCTGAACCCTGAGGTGCTGGAGTGTGTCCTGCCCGGCTCCGAAACCCGTGTCAGCTGGTGAGCGGGGTGGTGGGGACACCACTGCCATGGGGACACCGCTGTGGGGACACCACTGCCATGGGGACACCACCCATGTGGGGACATCGCCCCGTGGATGGTCCCTGAGCACCCCTGGGTGCTGTCCCCTCGCAGCTTCCCCGTGGTGCTGTGTGTCAGTGTGACGGGCCAGAGCATCCCCCAGAAGATCAGTGAGTGTTGGTGTCACCCGGGGGGGGACACAGGGGGACAAGGGCACTGTCAAGGTGTCACCAGGGGTGTCACCGGTGCCATGCCACCCCCCCCATGCCCGCTGTGCCCTGCCAGGCCTGGAGGCCGAGCTGCAGCTGGACCGGCTGAAGCCCAAGCTGTCCCGGAGGGTCCTGCTGCTGCAGGGCCACCAGTCGTCCTGGCACGGGGCACTGGACCTGGCCCCGGGGACACCCCCCCTCTGCCACAACCTCACCGCCTACCTCAGGGTACGGGGACAGTGCCACCCCGGGCTGGGACAGGGGCATCCCCAGCCCCAAGGGAGGGGGGACAGGGATGGGGACAAGGATGGGGACAGTGGCATCACCAGCTGGGACAGGGACAGGGATGGGGACAGGGATGGGGACAGACAGTGGCATCACCAGCCCAAGGAGGGTGGGGGACAGGGATGGGGCCAGCAGCATTCCCAGTTGGGATAGGGACAGGGATGGGGACAGTGGCATCCCCAGCTCAAGGGGAGTAAGGGACAGAGATGGGGACAATGGTATTTCCAGCTGATATGGGGACAGGGACAGACAGTGGAGTCTCCAGCCCCAGAAGGGTGGGGGACAGGGATGGGGACAGTGGCATCCCCAGTTGGGATGGGGACAGGGATGGGGACAGTGGCATCCCCAGCCCAAGGGGAGTGGGGGACAGGGATGGGGACAATGGTATTTCCAGCTGATATGGGGACAGGGACAGACCGTGGAGTCTCCAGCCCCAGAAGGGTGGGGGACAGGGATGGGGCCAGTGGCATCCCCAGTTGGGATGGGGACAGGGAGGGAGACAGTGGCATCCCCAGCCCAAGGGGAGTGGGGGACAGGGATGGGGACAGTGGCATGTCCAGGTGGGATGGGACAGGAATGGGGACAATGGTATTTCCAGCTGGTATGGGGACAGGGATGGGGACAGGGATGGGGACAGGGATGGGGACAATGGCATCTCCAGCTGGGATGGGGATGGGGACGGGGATGGGGACAGGGACGGGGACAGACAGTGGCATCCCCAGCCCCAGGAGGGTGGGGGACAGGGATGGGGACAGTGGCATCTCCGGGTGGGATGGGACAGGGATGGGGATGGGGATGGGGACGGTGGTATTTCCAGCTGGTACGGGGACAGGGATGGGGCCAGCAGCATTCCCAGTTGGGATGGGGACAAGGATGGGGACAGAGATGGGAACAGGGATGGGGACAGACAGTGGAATCCCCAGCCCCAGGAGGGTGGGGGACAGGGATGGGGACAGTGGCATGTCCAGGTGGGATGGGACAGGAATGGGGACAATGGTATTTCCAGCTGGTATGGGGACAGGGATGGGGACAGGGATGGGGACAGGGATGGGGACAATGGCATCTCCAGCTGGGATGGGGATGGGGACGGGGATGGGGACAGGGACGGGGACAGACAGTGGCATCCCCAGCCCCAGGAGGGTGGGGGACAGGGATGGGGACAGTGGCATCTCCGGGTGGGATGGGACAGGGATGGGGACAGTGGTGTCCCCAGCCCTGGTGGGGTGTCCCAGGGGGTGGGCGTGGGGTGCCCACCGGGTGCTGTGCCCACGGGTGTCCCCTGTCCCCAGGACGAGGCTGAGTTCAAGGACAAGCTGAGCCCGGTGGCCCTGAGCCTGAGCCTGGCGCTGCCCGGGGGGGACCCGGGGCTGGTGCTCTACGGGGACACCCTGGTGCAGACACAGGTAGGGGACACCTGGCTGAGCTGGGGACATCACGGCGGTGACTCAGGGTGGGCTCGGGGTCCCCACGCTTGGGGCAGGGCACATGTGGGGACACCCAGCCCCGGGCACCCGCTGCCACCACAGTGCCCCGGCCCCATGGTCCCCAGCCCGTCCCCAGTGTCCCCAGCCTGTCCCCAGAGTCCCCAACCCCTCCATGGGACACAGCCCCCCGTCCTCCCCACTGTCCCCTGTGCTTCTGTGGGGTGTCCCCCTCTCTGCCCTGCTCCCTGGGATGTCCCCCTGTGCCACTCACTGGCCCCAGTCCCTCCCTGGGATGTCCCCTCTGTACCCCTTGATGTCCCCAATCCCCCAGTCCCCCCCCATAGTCCCCAGTCCCTCCCTGGGATGTCCCCCCAGTGCCTAACTGTCCCCAATCCCTCCCCAGGATGTCCTCTCTGTACCCCTTGATGTCCCCAATCCCCCAGTCCCCCCCCATAGTCCCCAGTCCCTCCCTGGGATGTCCCCCCAGTGCCTAACTGTCCCCAATCCCTCCCCAGGATGTCCTCTCTGTACCCCTTGATGTCCCCAATCCCCCAGTCCCCCCCCATAGTCCCCAGTCCCTCCCTGGGATGTCCCCCCAGTGCCTAACTGTCCCCAATCCCTCCCCAGGATGTCCTCTCTGTACCCCTTGATGTCCCCAATCCCCCAGTCCCCCCCCATAGTCCCCAGTCCCTCCCTGGGATGTCCCCCCAGTGCCTAACTGTCCCCAATCCCTCCCCAGGATGTCCTCTCTGTACCCCTTGATGTCCCCAATCCCCCAGTCCCCCCCCATAGTCCCCAGTCCCTCCCTGGGATGTCCCCCCAGTGCCTAACTGTCCCCAATCCCTCCCCAGGATGTCCTCTCTGTACCCCTTGATGTCCCCAATCCCCCAGTCCCCCCCCATAGTCCCCAGTCCCTCCCTGGGATGTCCCCCCAGTGCCTAACTGTCCCCAATCCCTCCCCAGGATGTCCTCTCTGTACCCCTTGATGTCCCCAATCCCCCAGTCCCCCCCCATAGTCCCCAGTCCCTCCCTGGGATGTCCCCCCAGTGCCCCCCAGTGTCCCCAGTGCCTCCCCAGGATGTCCCCTCTCTACCCGCTGTTGTCCCCGATGACTCTCCATCCCACACCCCCCCTCCCCAACCCCGTATCCCCCCCCCAGACCCACATCATCCTGGAGGACTGCGGTGAGGACAACCTTTGCGTCCCCGACCTCCGCCTGGCCGCCGACACGTGAGCGCCCGGGTGGGTGAGGGGGGTGCCCGCTGTCACCCCGGGGTGCTCAGCCCTGTCCCCATGTCTGTGTGTGTCTGTGTGTCCCCCAGGCCCAGCCGGCGCCTGCTGATCGGGGAGGAGGCGGTGCTGCGCCTGCGGGCCCGTGCCACCAACCAGGGCGAGGGGGCCTTCGAGACCGAGCTGCGGGTCCAGCTGCCCCCCGGCACCCACTACCAGGCGGCTCGCAGCAGCATCCCGGTGGGTGCCCGTCGGGGGGTCCCAGGGGTGCACAGGGTGGGGGGGATCATGTTCTGTCCTTGGTGGCAATCACTCTCCACCTGGGTGCCCAGCATGGAGGGGGTTACACCCTACCCTTGGTGACCATCACCCTCCATCTGGGTGCCCAGCATGGAGGGGGTTATGCCCTGTCCTTGGTGGCCATCACCCTCCATCTGGGTGCCCAGCACGGAGGGGGTTATGTCCTGCCCTTGGTGGCCATCACCCTCCATCTGGGTGCCCAGCATGGAGGGGGTTATGTCCTGTCCTTGGTGGCCATCACCCTCCATCTGGGTGCCCAGCATGGAGGGGGTTATGCCCTACCCTTGGTGGCCATCATCCTCCATCTGGGTGCCCAGGAGTGATGGATGCCTGGGGTGGGCAGGGGCTCATGCCCTGCCCTTGGTGGCCATCACCCTCCATTTGGGTGCCCAGTATGGAGGGGCTCATGCCCTGCCCTTGGTGGCCATCACCCTCCACCTGGGTGCCCAGGAGTAATGGGTGCCTGGGGTGGGCAGGGGCTCATGCCCTGCCCTTGGTGGCCATCACCCTCCACCTGGGTGCCCAGCATGGAGGGGGTTATGTCATGTCCTGTCCTTGGTGGCCATCATTCTCCACCTGGGTGCCCAGCATGGAGAGGCTTACCCCCTACCCTTGGTGGCCATCACCGTCCATCTGGGTGCCCAGGAGTGATGGGTGCCTGGGGTGGGCAGGGGCTCATGCCCTACCCTTGATGGCCATCACCCTCCATCTGGGTGCCCAGGAGTGATGGACATCTGGTGTGCCTGGGGTGGGCAGGGGCTCATGCCCTACCCTTGATGGCCATCACCCTCCATCTGGGTGCCCAGCATGGAGGGGTTATGCCCTGTCCTTGGTGGCCATCACCCTCCATCTGGGTGCCCAGGGGTGATGGATGCCTGGGGTGCCTGAGGTGGGCAGGGGCTCATGCCCTACCCTTGGTAGCCATCATTCTCCACCTGGGTGCCCAGCATGGAGGGGGTTATGCCCTAACCTAAGTGGCCATCGCTCTCCATATGGGTGCCCAGCATGGAGGGGCTTATGCCCTGTCCTTGGTGGCCATCACCCTCCATCTGGGTGCCCTGGGTTGATGGATGCCTGGGGTGGGCAGGGTCTCATTTCCTGTCCTTGGTGGCCATCGCCCTCCATCTCGGTGCCCAGGGGTGATAGGTGCCAGGGGGTGCCCAGCATGGAGGGGTTATGCCCTGCCCTTCGTGGCCATCGCCCTCCATCTCGGTGCCCAGGGGTGATAGGTGCCAGGGGGTGCCCAGCATTGAGGGGTCTCATTTCCCATCCTTGGTAGCCATCGCTCTTCATGTGGGTGCCTGGGGGCGATGGGTGCCCAGGGTGCCCATCATGGGGGGGCTCGTGCCCTGTCCTTTGTGGCCATCACCATCCATGTGGGTGCCCGGGGGTGATAGGTGCCAGGGGGTGCCCAGCATGGAGGGGTCTCATTTCCCATCCTTGGTGGCCATCGCTCTTCATGTGGGTGCCCAGGGGCAATGGGTGCCCGTCATGGGGGGGCTTGTGCCCTGTCCTTTGTGGCCATCACCTTCTGTGGGGGTGCCAGGGGGTGATGGGTGCCAGGGGGTGCCCAGTGTGCAGTGGCTCATGCCCTGCCCTAGGACCACGCAGGTCCCTGGGGTGGCTGGTGCGTGTTGGTGTCTGTGATGTGTCCCCTCCCCGTGTCCCCCCCCTGTAGGGGCAGGAGAAGCTGAGCTGCAAGCCCAAGAAGGAGAACGGGACCCACGTGGTGCTCTGCGAGTTGGGCAACCCCATGAAAGCGGGTGCCCGGGTAAGGGGTTTGGGGGCTGAGCCCATCACCCTTGTGTCGGGGCTGGGCATGGGTGGTGGTGGTGGTGCTAGTGGTGGGTCACCCACCCTCATGTTGTCCCCCTAGATCACTGTGGACATGGAGCTGAGCGTGTCCGGGCTGGAGGACATGGGTGATGCCATCACCTTCCAGCTCCAGCTGCAGAGGTGACACCGTGCCAGGCCCCTTGTCCCCTGCCCACTCTTGGGACCCAGCCACCGGGGACTTGGTGGCCTCGGTGTGTCCCCACCCTTGGTGGCCACCCCTCACCCCACCGTGTCCCCGCAGCAAGAACAGCCCCAGCTCTGCCAACGCCTCGGTGACGGTGACGGTGCCCGTGGAGGTGCAGGCAGAGATGGAGCTGCGAGGGTGAGGGGCTTGATGGGTGGGGGGACACAGGGACACAGTGGTGGCCCCGAGGGGGACACTGACCCCCTTCTCCTGCCAGGAACTCCCTGCCTGCCACCACGGTGCTGCCCGCCAGCTGGCAGGGGGTGGAGGGCAGCCGGCGGCTGGAGGACCACGGCATCAAGGTGGAGCACGTCTACCAGGTAGGGTGCTGCACCCATGGGTGCCCCAGGGTGGGGGGGACTGTCCCCCTCCTTGGTGTCACCTAACTGTCCTCCCGCAGCTCCACAACAAGGGTCCCAGCACCGTCAGCGGGGTCACCCTGCGCCTGGCCGTCCCCAACCTGCTGGGTGGCCGTGTCCTGCTCTACCTGCTGGAGCTGGGCACCGAGGGGGGCATGAGCTGTGACCACCCCCCCGGCCTCAACCCTCAGGAGGTAGGGTGCTGCAGGGGACCCGCACCCACCCCAGGGTGCTGGGTGGGTGCCAAGGTGGGGTGTGTGTGTGTCCCCACCACCACCTTCTATCTCCGTCCAGCTGGAGATCCCCCGTCCCACGGGCGCAGCGCCCCGGAACGGCACCCACCACCGGGAACGCCGGGACGTGGAGGACCCACTGGGTGCGGGGCTGGAGGAACCCACCCCCGTGGTGAGTGGGTGGGTGCTCCCCCGGGGACCCTGCGGCCCCCTGAGGGGTGCGGGGGGGACCCTCCGTCCAGCTGGAGATCCCCCGCCCCACGGGCGCAGCGCCCCGGAACGGCACCCACCACCGGGAACGCCGGGACGTGGAGGACCCACTGGGTGCGGGGCTGGAGGAACCCACCCCCGTGGTGAGTGGGTGGGTGCTCCCCCGGGGACCCTGCGGCCCCCGCACCGTGTCCCCAGGGTGAAAGGGGGGGTGTTCCCTCCCCGGGCGCCGCAGTGGGGGTGTGACGGTGAAACACCGACCGTGTCCCTCAGGACTGTGGCAATGCCACCTGCGTGGGCATCTCCTGCCAGGTGCCCAGCCTGGGCAAGGACCAGCGGGCGCTGGTGAGCGTCCGTGCCCTCCTCTGGATGGACACCCTGCAGCAGGTACCGTCCCCTCCTGGGGACAGGGTGGCACCGTGTCCCCAGGGTGTCCCCACCATCTCCCCTCCTGCGTGGGCATCTCCTGCCAGGTGCCCAGCCTGGGCAAGGACCAGCGGGCGCTGGTGAGCGTCCGTGCCCTCCTCTGGATGGACACCCTGCAGCAGGTACCGTCCCCTCCTGGGGACAGGGTGGCACCGTGTCCCCAGGGTGTCCCCACCACGGTGCCTCCTGCGTGGACATCCCCTGGGGGAGCTGCAAAGCCCTGGGGACACGGTGGGGCAGGGGGGCAGGTGCCCCCGTTGGCTGCCAACCCCTCGGTGCCATGTACCCATGTGTCCCCATGTCTCCCCACGTCTGTCCCCCAGAGGGAACACCTCCTGAAGCAGTTCCTCATCCAGTCTCGAGCCTGGTTCAACACCTCGGCCATGCCCTACCGCGTCCGGCCACGCGTCCTGCCCGCCGGGGAGGCCACGGTAGGGCTGGCACGGGGACAAGGGGGGGACACGCTGTGGAGGCGGCGATGTCACCCCCTCGTCACCTCCACAGGCTGTCACCGAGGTGATGCGTGCCAGCCCCGGGGGCGAGGGGACCGTGCCCGTGTGGTGGGTGGTGCTGGGGGTCCTGGCCGGGCTCCTGCTCCTCACCTTCCTCATCCTCCTCATGTGGAAGGTGAGTGGGTGGGGAGGGGACATCGGGGACACCAGTGACACCCCACCGCAGGGGTGGGACACGGATGGCACCGGCGGGACCCATGAAATGGGGAACTCAGCCCTGGGGGCGGGGGCTGTGGTGGGCACAGGGTGGGGGGCAGCACTGGGTGTGATGCCATGGGGTCCCCCGGGACCGATGGTGGGGGGTCCCCCGGGGACTGGGTTGTCACCGTGTCCCTCTTCCAGTTGGGGTTCTTCAAGAGGACACGGCCACCCAACGAGGAGGACACGCAGGAGCTGGCACCCAGCCGGGCCCAGGAGCCGGAGGGTGCCCAGGGATAGTGGGGTCCCCTTGGGGTCCCCCTGTGCCCCCACCCCATGGCGTGTCCCCCGTCCCAGCCCCACATCCCCATCACCCCTGGGTTCCCGTGGGGCACCCCCCCATCCCAGCCCCACCTCCCCATCATCCC